TGGACGTCCAGCCTCTGCCAGGGTGTGGCCCTCACCTGGCTCGCAGGTAAAGGCGTTTTGGGCGTTCTCCCCACTACCTTGTTCCCGGCATGTCTGACACATTGGGCCAGCTGGCAGGACCTTCCAGCCTGGGGCCAGTAGGCTGCTGCTCCTCCAGACTCCTGGGGACCCCACCCTGACCGCAGGCCCCGAGTGGACCAGGGCGTTTCCTCCATCGCGGGCGCTGCGCCCACTGAGGGCCAGGCTCGGTGGTCTCAGTGAGTCCTGGAAACCCAGAGGGTGCTGGTTGCACCACGAGAGGCCTTTTCAGATGAGGTGGCCTAGGCCACCTAGCGAGGCTTCGCAGAGGATGGGCTGGAGCTCTTTGCTGGTGCCTCTGCTGCCACCTTTTTCCTACTGAGAATATCCTGTCCCCGTGGTCAAGTTCTGCAGAGCCACAGCCGCTCTGGGAGCCAGCCCATAGACCCCTTCCTGTGTCCCAGTGACAGGCTTCATCTCCCCTGGGGCAGCGGGCTGGGTCTCCCATTCTGGCAAATTCAGGCAAGGGGTGTTCTTCCCAGTGTTAAGATGCCCTGCCTGTCCCCAGTGGAGGAAGGACAGCTGTCAGCACATCTGACAGACCCCCTCCTCCTGGGGACGTGCCGGAAACGGGGTGTCGGCTTTCCGATCTGCTCCCCTATCACTTCCCAGCCCACGCTGCGCCCTGCACCTGGCACCCTGGTCCTTCAGCACAGGTTCGGGTGCCACCGCTCGAAGGGGGCCCCACCATTCGTGCTGCGTGGATGAGTCAGCTACTCGGAGCTCGCATTTGATGGTCCCTTATTTGTTATTGACTCAAGGTTGGAAGATGTTTTATGAGCCCAGTATATTCTTGACAAGCACTTTGCCCTTTTGGACTTGAGAGGAAAAGTTTCTGGGCCCAGGATTTGGACGTTCTGCAAGGTCCCCCACCCCCGGTCGGGGGCTCAGCACTGCATTTGCACCCCAGCTCGGCTGGGCCCCAGTGCCATCGAGAGCTTTCTGCCCAGCAGGGTGGCCCATGGCTCTGGGGTTCCAGCGGCCTTGCTTGAGGCTGGAAGGTGAGGGCTGCAGAGACCTGGACGGTGGGAGCTGAGGCTGGGTGGAGCCACCCAGAGCCTGATTCGGTTGCACGTCAGACAGC